GCGCCCCGGGGGTCGGGGGAGGCGCCCCGCCGCCCGCCGAGGGGCGCTGCGACCAGGGGCGGCGCTGCCCGCGAGGGCGGTACTCACCACGCCGCTCCGCCGCCCGCTCCCAGGAGCCGCACTCCGGCCGGCCCGCTCGGCCGCCCAGGGGCTCGGCAGCCCCGCCCCGGCGTGCCACGGGCGAGAACAACCACTTCCGGCGCGCGGGAGGAGACGAAGGAAATGAGGGTGCGGCGCCGAGCGCCACGCCCATCCACACCGACCACGCCCACCCAACTAGGCCACGCCCCCTGCTGACCCCATGCCTGGCACACAAAGCCCAACTATTGGCATTTTAGAATTGATTCAGTTGATAAACAAAGCTGAGTGCGTGTGCACCTCCAAAAAACATCAAGGAAGGAACGCAAGCTCCTCAGAGACTGGAGTATCAGGTTGGTTTGCTGACAGCATCCCTGCGAGATGGGACTTGGCGAACAGCGATGCTGCTGTGTACTAGACCCTGTCTCTAAGAAGCCACGAATGTTCTGTCCGCTATGTTAGGGACCCGCAGGTCTCCAGAGGTGTCTAGGCATCCTCAGGTAGGCTGGGCCCTCAGGAGGTCTTGGTCTAAGAACCTGGGCAGCCAAAGACATTTGGGCTATTCTATTTCATTGGATCCAAGTTTCTTAATTTTGTTAAATTATGGGGTTCAAGTGCACAGGCTGGTAAATGGTTTTAAGGTTTGATGTTGGATGATTTTAGTGAATACACAAAAAAGAAAAACCCTCTCCCACTTCTGCTCCACCCAAGTGATGGTTCCAGGAACACGCTCAAGGCACTTTGAACCCCCAAGTTCAGGAGCACGTGGGAGGAGTCTAGCAGCCCAAAGCCTGCTGTTTCTGGGCAGAACACCATGGTGGGGCTAAGAGCCAGCTCTGGGGTCTGTTCCACTCTGGCTCTACTTTCTTTACGGGAGTGTCTTGGCAAGCTACCTGGGCTTGGCCCCTCTGAGTCAGTTTTCTCAGCCGTTTCGGCACCAGTAGCGTGCTTTCTAAAACTGTGAAGATCAAATGCAATTTTAAAAGTAAAATCACTTTATTCTAATTAGTTCAGAAATATAAACAGCACATGGAGTGCAAGCAAAGGACATGAGTCATGAAAGGGACATTAAGCTACTTTTTTTCTGGTTTCAACTTTGTCATTAATTTTGTTTTTTCTTTCTTCATGGTAGATCACTGAATTCAACTTTCTGGATAATGAAGTAGCAAGTATCATAAAAAATAAATAATGTAATTGATGATGAAAGCGTAAAGCCCTAAGTGAAGCTCCTGAGCTTCAGAATGACCATTCTAACTGTACGGAAGTTCACTGACGTGTAAAGTTTGGGATGGGGCAAGTGTCTGAACGGCTTCCTTAAACCAGTTGTGTCATGTTTGTATTTCTGTGATGCTTTTGCTTCTGAATTAAATGTCATTTTGTATTTGAAGTATTTGGGACTATGCCTGGCAGACAGCAGACAACCCATTGTCATCAATAACTGCATTAGAGTGGAGGGCTGAGGTGGTTGGCTGTGAATGCATCCTGTAGAGGTAGCATTCCAGGGGAGGAGGATTTATTCCAAGCATAGCTGACTTTGTGGGCTGACAGTTTCTGAGATGTCTTTAACCCAGACATTCTCCTCTAATGCCTTAAGAGAAATTCTGTAAACTTCAAGGGCTTGGATCATTTACTTCCAAGCCAGGCTTGCTAAATATCCAGTCTCTTCCCAACTTTCAAGTTTCTCTCTCCCATGTTATTTCTGAGCAACTGTAAACGTTTACAGTTCCAATACACTTTGCCTCCAACCTGGCTCAAGGGTAGAGAATTCATCCACTCATAGACTATGCTTGTCTGAGTCCTCGAAGAGGACAGTCTTTTTCACCTTGTGTACTTTACACATAGCAAATGTTTGGTAAACTGAATTGTTTAAAATAAGAATGTGTAAGGGGGAGCTAGGGAAATGGCTCAGCAGTTAGGAGCACTGGCTGCTCTTTCAGGGGACCCAGGTTTAATTCCCAGCACCCACAACTGTCTGTAACTACAGTTCCAGGGGAATTCGACACCCTCTTCTGACCTCCATGAGCATTGTACAACAGAGGTGCACTTACACACATGCAGGCAATACACTCATACACAAAAATAAAAATAATGAATTTAAAAAATGAACAGGCAAGGATCTCTCCCGTGTCCAGCACCCACCTTACTTGATCAGAAGGCATGTTTGGTTAAGTCAACTGCTCTCACTATGCTTCATCTGGTTAGCAGGTTATGTTCTTGGATGCAGTTTAGCTATGTATGAGTCCAATGCTCTACTGTCTATAGTGCATGATGCTGTAATGATATTTACCTCACAAATCTGAGCACCCAACTTGGGAATATAAATGTAAAGATGCAGTAGAATTCTCTCCTGGGAGAATTGGAGCATGGGACCCTCTGGTGAATGGTAAAGAGCACAGTGTTGTGAGGTTTCAAAGGATAAAACAAACATTCTTTAAGGTGTTAATACAACCAAGTGTAAACAGCATCTCACTGACATGTTAGAGAATCATGTCTCCAGGTTGGCAGCTTTGGAGTTCTTGGTTCAAATCTAGGTCTACGACATGCTCCATGCTGTACTTGACATCATGCCAATGGTTATTGAGAAATGCACAGAAGCCAGGGGTGGCTCCTACCTATCTATTATCCTAGCACTCAGGGGGCTGAGGCAGGAGGATCATAATTTTGAGGCCAGCCTAAACTACACAGTAAGTTCCAAGCTAGTCTGAGATAAAGAGAAGACTCTGTCTCAAAAAAAAAAAAAAGTGGGCTGTAGAGATAGGCTAGCAGTTAAGAGAACTTGTTACTCTCATAGAGCACCCAGGTTCGCTTCCTAGCACCCACATAGTGGCTAACAACTCTCTGTAACTCCAGTTCCAGAAGATCTGATGCCCTCTTCTGGCCTCCCTGGGCACTGCATGATATGGGTGTACTTACATACATGCAGGCAAACACTCATACACAAAAAATAAAAAGTGTTCACAGACACAGAGAGCTATGGAACTTCTTGACCCTAGTCTCATGTCCACTCATGGAAATGCTTGGGCTTTCTTTTTCCTAGTGGCTACTTTAAATTGTATAAGGACTACCTGTTCTATGAGGGAAAGGACTAGACCTCCCTGCATTCCCCTGAACTTGTGAATGGGTGAATGCTGGCAAGCCTCCAAAAAGAGAAGTCTGTATCCCCACTAACCACATTCAAAGTCACCTCCCTTTTTAGCAGATTGCAATCATTGCAGGATAGATCCATACCCCTCCACAGCAAGAAGTTTCTTTTTGAAAGATATTTATTTTTTTAATATGTATTTTATCTATTATTTTTATTTTGCGTGTTTGAGTGTATTGCCTGCATGTATGTGAGTGGACCCATGTTGTGCAATGCTGCAGAGGTCAGAAGAGGGTTCCAGATTCCCCAGGAGCTGGAGTTAAGGATGGTTCATAGCTGCCATGTGGATGCTGGGAATATTGATGTTTAGATGTTAAGCCAGTCTGTGTTTGTGGGATAAACATCATTGGTAATGTTGTATAATAATCTCTTTTGTGTAGATGTGTTCAGTGTTCTATGGTGTTAAGCATTTTGTTCTTCTTTTAAAAGTTTGGTTCCAGCCCCATTAAAAGATTTATTTATTTATTTATTTATTTTTATGTATATGAGTGCTTTGTCTGAATATATGTACGTGAACCTGTGTCCTGAAATGCCCATGGAAGCCAGAAGAGGGCATCAGAGCCCCTGGATCTGGAGTTACAGGTAGTTGTTAATCACTGTGTGGATGCTGGGAACTGAATGCAGGTCCTCTCGCAAGCACCCAGTGCTAACCATGGAGCCATCTCTCCAGCAAGTACTTTTTTCCTGCTCTGCCAACCCTTCAGATGCTGGGTTTTCTGTATTAACTGCTCTGTTTGCTGTCTTCCTTTATCCTCTTTCCTTCCTGATCACACTTCAGGCAGAGCCACAGGCTTATTTTCCATGTGGTACATGCACTGAGCAGTGAGCATATCTCCAAGCCCTTTGTCTGGACCTTTTAGTCTTCCCAAAGCCTATGGTTAGGGTCCTCAGTTTCTGGAAGGAAAAAAGAAATGCAGAGAGGGAAGTGCTAAAGGTTATCCAGGACAGGATTTGCATGGAATTGGAGCAACCGAGTTAAGACTCAGTTGTCACATATGTATTTTAAAAAACATTTTGCTACAGAGTCCTGGGTTTCATAATAGCGTTTTCATACACACCTAGGTTGTTCTTATTCATCCTCCTCCCCAATGCCTTCCCCCCTTCTCCCTACACCCCTCCATTGGCCAGCTTCCTTCCCCAAGACAGTCCCCACTTGGACTTTCATGCTGCTTGTACCGCAGTACTCTTTCATTTGTCTTCTCTCTCTCCTTTAGGGTCACATCCTCCGCCTCATGGTCCCTTTTCTACTTTCATGACCTACACACACATGACCTACAGCACACACACAGCCACAAACACACACAGATACATGCAGACACAGCACACATGTGCACACACACAGACACTGCACATACACACGCAGACACACACACAGATGTAGCATACACAGCCACAAACACAGCCACAGATATACACACACAGCTACAAACACATGACAAAGACACATAAGCACACAGACACACAAACACACGGACTCAGCTACACACAGCAACACACACACAGCCACAGACATGCATAGAAGACACACAGACACAGACACAAACACACACACACATACACACACTCGCAGACCAACACATATATAAATCTAAATCTAGAGTCCACATATGAGAGAAAACATGCGGTATTTCTCTAAGTTTGGCTCACTTCCTTTAATATAATGATCTTCAGTTGCCTCTGTTTTCCTGCAAAGCCCATGATTTGAATTTTCTTTATGGCTGAATAAAATTTCATCATGTGTATATATCCCATTTCATCCATTTATCTGTTCGTGGATATGTAAGTTCATTCAAATTCTTAGCTGCCGTGAACAGTGCAGCGATAAACAGATGTACAAGTATCAGAGTCCTTCACGGGTATACCAAGAAGTGGTACAACTTGGTTATATGGTGAGTCTTAGCTTTTTGAGTAGCCTCCATACTGACTTCCACAGTGACATACCAGTTTACACTCCCATCAGCAGTGAAGAAGGATTCTTC